CTGGGGATTTAGCTCAGCGGCAAAAGCGCCTGCCTGGCAAGCGCAAGGTCGTGAGTTCGGTTCCCGGTACCGGAGAAAAACCAAAAAAAAAAAACAGAACCGGTTTCTCTTATATGATCTAGAGTCCAAACAGCCAGACACAGTGGCGAGACCAGTAACTCCTTCGATAGCAGTCGTCTTTTTAAAAAAATTCTTACTCCACTGTTGTACTGCCACTATACAATGTACAAATAAAACAACGTAGGCCTGTAAGTTACTTGCAGCAAATGACACACCTTGGAAAGGGAGAGGAAGCCTTCACTTGAGAGCACCTCTTGAGCATTTCTGTCCATGAACATGCAGCACATGCAGGTTAACTTGGGAAGTGAGTAGAGACTGGCAACATCAAAAGTCATGCAGACATTCTGGATGTTAAGTATGGTGCAGAGATACTCAGAAGTAGAATCCTCCAACTCTGGAAAGCCATATTTATGAGCCAGACTTAGAAAGTCCAGCAGAACCTCCTCCTTCTCATCTGTTAGGGTTGCCCGCCCGGTGTAGATGTATTTGAGAAGCATTGTGAATGCTTCAGCAGTGGTATCTTGGAGAGGGATTTCTGCTTCAGGCTGGGACTCTCTCATTCCACCATACAGTAATGCTCTGCATAAAACGGAAGAAACACAGGAGGCAAACTTCAAACAGGATTTGCTACAACATACATGAAATAACACTTAGCAACACTACACAAATGTAAATTTGCTTAATGACACAAGGATTTAGGTGAAGAAGTGTGAAGTAATCATTTTAAATAGGTTTTTTTTTTTTTTTAAGGAAAGCCAGAGGAATGATTTTAAAACCATTCTGAATTAATTCCATAAAAAACTGAAATAATAAGCTACTCTGAGAGCTCAAATTAAACAGAAGTAGGAAGTAGTCTTTTGAGAGGAACAGTGAAATCAGTACAAAAATGTTAAAGGTCAACAGGAAGTATGCAAAGTAAAGCTACAGAAAAAGACGTAATCAGATTTTTAAAAACCCAGTCAGACGCCATTCTCCTGTCAGATTGGCAGAAATTAAAACTCCACTCATGCCCAGTGCTGCAAAAACAATGAGAAAAGTTTTGTTATGCTCTGCTTTGAGAAACAGTATATATAAATGGGCCCATTTTTGAAAAGTAACTTAGTGATACCTATCCGAATCTAAAATGTGCATACACTTCAATGCAATGCTTTTACTTTTAGGACTCAATTCTAGAGAAAAATGTCCATAAATAGGAATATGTTAAAAAAAAGTGACACACACATCGTAAGGAGCCATTACAAAGATCAATAGAGATCAACAGGCACTTCTTGGAAAGATGTGCCTAGGCCAGCTGGTGAACCTTTCAGAGCTTTCAATGATACAAACAGCCCGCTGTGGCACACACGCCGTAGATTTACCACCACGGGTCTGGGCTCTTTCCCAGAACATAGCAGGTAAGCAAGGAAAGTTCAACGTTTACTATAAAAAGTTCCTTCTTAGCCAGGCATGGTGGCACACGCCTGTAATCCCAGCACTCAGGAGGCTGAGGCAGGGGGATCCTTGTGAATTTGAGACCAGCCTGGGCTAAAGTGAGCTCAAGGCCAACCTGAACTGCATAGCTAGACCCTGTCTCAAAAAGACAAAGAAAATAAAAACATTTCCTCTTAAATAGTTAGTTTATCTTTATTTAGGAATTGACAGCCTCTTCTGACAGTGCTTAGGTCTCTAATTACTGACAGTTAACTTTTCAACTTTTCTTTGCTCATGAATAGTGTTGGCAATGAGATCTATCTGAGAAAGTATTGGAAATGGCTCTGAGTTTAACCAAGTGAACCACCAAATGCTACGAAGGTTCAATATCCACAAGAACAAAGTCAATAAATGAGGGAAGTATATTCCATTCACTCACTAAGATCTTTAAATTTCTAAAGCATTTGAATTTCTTTTAAAAATATGCTGATCACTACTGACATGTAGATCAATGGAACAGAATAGAAGGTGCAGAAACAGCCCCAGATACACTCAGCTATCTAATCTTTGACAAAGGGGCCAAAAACATACGCTGGAGGAAAGACAGCCTCTTTAACAGTGCTGGGAAAAAAAATCAAAATGGATCAAAAGCCTAAATATAAAAACAAGAGCAATCTGCTAGACAAAATAGGTGCAACTCTTGGGGACATAAGTGTAGACAAAGACTTTCTGAACACAACCCTAATTGCACAAGAAACAGCATCAAAATCATCAGACTAGACTCTGTCAAAAGCTCCTTCACAGCATAATGGGAAAAAATTTTGCCAGCTACTCCTCAGACAAAGGACTACTATCTAAAATATATAAAGAACTCAAAAAAAATTAGACTACCCCAAATAACAGACCCAATCAAAAAAAATGGGCAACTGAAATGAACAGACACTTCTCAGAAGAACTACAAGTAGCCAATAAATTTATGAAACAAATGTTTAATATTGGGGCTGGGGATTTAGCTCAGCGGCAAAAGCGCCTGCCTGGCAAGCGCAAGGTCGTGAGTTCGGTTCCCGGTACTGGAGAAAAACCAAAAAAAAAAAAAACCAAATGTTTAATATTACTGACCATTAGAGAAATGCAAAATAAAACACAGAGTTTACCTTACTCCATAAAGAATGGTCATTATCAAGAAATCAAATAATAACAAATTCTGACAAGGCTGCAGGGGAAAAAGAAACCCTTCTACATTGCTGTTAAGAATGTAAACCAGTATGGAAATCAGCATAGAGATTACTCAAAAAACTAAAACTAGAAATTCCATTCAATCCAACTATTCCCCTTCTAAGTATCTTCCCAAAAGAGTAAAAGATGTCATATTACAGTGATACATGCAGTCCTTATGTTTATAGCAGTATAATAGCTAAATTCTAGAAGCATCCTATTTGCCCATTAATAGAATGGATAAAGAAAACGTAGTGTTTATAATAATGGAGTACTACTCTGCCATAAAGAAGAATAAATCTGTGTCATTTGAAGGAAATATTAATATTAAGTCAAATAAATCAGACACAGCAGGTTAAATAATGCATGGTTTCTCTTATATGAGAAACCCAAGGTATAAATAAATCAAAGAGCAAAATAAAACAAAGATAGCAGGAATCAGAGAGAGATGCTTTGCGCAAAAGGGAAGGGGAACAAAGGATGGAGGGAAGTGGGTGGGAGATAAGAGGAAAGAAAAAAGAATTAAGATGTGTTAGGCACATGTACCAACTTCCCACAAAGAATGTAATCATCACATACTGCAAACATATACTAACAAAAATAAATATTACAAAAATATAAATAAAAATTTTAAAGTTGAGGCTATCCACCTCCCAAAAAAGAAAGCAAATAAAATTTTTTCTAAGCCTCAGGCATCTTCCACTCCAGGCACATCTATAGCTCTATGTACCATCTTTATCCTTGTAAACAAAAAAGATCTATTACCAGTAATAAATTATCACTCAGCCAATAGTTCAGTGGTGATTCCCCTTTACCTAGTATTAGATAAAATGTAAAGTAATTAATTTTTAATTGTAAATATTTTAAAATGTAAATATTTAAAACTGGAAATTTATGGTCTGAGTAACAACAGTGGTCTGTAAGTGGGATTTGTACATTACATATATAAATACTTTGTTTAGTGTTAGTTCTAACAGCCATGAAACTTAGTCAATACCTCTTTCAACAATCTGGCTTGTCACACTGCATGTCTCAGATCTGCTGGGTTACCTACAGGTCTTAGACCTCAGCAGTGTGAATCCAAAAGTCACACACGTTCATTAGCAGGTTAGAAGGTCAGTTTACCTATACAAAAAGAAGCCTATCTGCCAGTCAATCAGTGTAAGTCACATTAATATCCCCTGTGAGAAGGTAAGGGTAACAAAAATTCAACCTGAGAAATATTCTCCAGACCTTTAAAAATAGTAGCTTGGAGGGGCTGGGGATTTAGCTCAGCGGCAAAAGCGCCTGCCTGGCAAGCGCAAGGTCGTGAGTTCGGTTCCCGGTAC